GTCATGATATCCCACATTTGATCTTTCGACCAGGTCTGAGCGGGGTACCGAACAACAGCGAATTGAGATTGGAGCACACCAAATGCCCGCTCGACATCCTTCCTGCAAGCCTCCTGAACCTTCGCAAACCAGGCGTTCTTGCCTCCTGCCACAGGGTTTGAGATCATCTTTACAAATGTTGACCATCTCGGATAGATGTCGTCAGCTAGATAGTACCCCTTGTTGTATTGGTGCCCATTGATCTCGAAGTTCACCGGAGGAGAATGACCCTCAACGAGCTTGGCAAAAACAGGAGAGCACTGCAACACGTTGATGTCATTGTGAGTTCCTGGCATACCAAAGAAGGAGTGCCAAATCCAGAGGTCCTGTGTGGCTACCGCCTCAAGAACCACACTGCAACCGCCTTTGGCGCCTTTGTACATCCCCTGCCAACCAAATGGGCAGTTCTTCCATTGCCAATGCATGCAGTCGATGCTTCCAAGCATCCCAGGAAATCCTCTTGCTGCATTCTGGGCTAGGATCCGAGCAGTGTCTTCCGCATTGGGTGTTCTCAAGTATTGTGGCCCAAACACTGCCACCACTGCCCGGCAGAACTTGTAGAAACACTCTATGCTGGTGGACTCGGCCATGCGCCCATAGTCGTCGAGTGAATCACTGGGAGCTCCATATGCAAGCATCCTCATCGCTGTCGTGCACTTCTGTATGGAGGTGAATCCAAGAGCGCTAGTGCAATCCATCTTGCACTTGAAGTAGTTGTCGAACTCCCGGATGGAATTCACAATCCTGAGGAAGAGATTTTGGCTCATCCGATAACGGCGCCGAAATGTTCTCTCGCCATGAAGTGGAGCATCGGCGAAGTAGTCGGAGTAGAGCATGCAGTAGCCTTGCAGACGATGCCGATTCTTTGCTTTCACCCGCCCCGGCGCCGAGCCACCTCGACGCGGCTTTTCATTGATCGCCAGCAGCTGGGCGAGGGCGGCGAGCACCATCAGATGCTCTTCTTCCTGGACATCGGCCGCGGCTTCCTCCTCCAGCAGCGTGGCGAGCTCTTCCACCTCATCCGAGTCCATCGCCGAGGCAGTCAAAACGCCGAACACCTTGCGCTCGGTGGGCGTGTACCCGCCGTTAAACCGCGCCTCCGCGGCCGGAAACGACCAGCTGCTGCGGGAGGGGCTGCCGCGGCGAAGCGCTGCTATTTTCCGGCGGGGAATGACTATCTAGCGGAGTAGGCCGGTGGCCATCGCCGGGATATAGCTAGTGGTGGCCGAGGGCGCGGGGGGTGCGAGGCGAGTCGGGGGAAGAAAACCTTGACTTTTCCCCTGTCGGTGTGGGCCAGGCATACTTTTCCCTAGCGCCGGAGCCCCCAACGGCTCCCCAGTGCGCCGGGTTCGGCCTGTGACCGCCGGGCGGAAAAAAGGTCCGAACCGGCGATTTTCGGCGTCCTGGGGGCGCGACTGGGCCGTTTTTTCGGCGCCGGCGCCGAAAAAGTGGCCTGGGGGGCCTGTTGGGGGCACCGGTGGAGATGCCCTTAGTACACAAAGCGTAATGAATAGTGCTTACCATACCATAGGATCACTTGATCCCTTTCGATACATCTTCTATGCTTTGTGTGTTGATCTACTTGATTCACTCTTTAACTTAGTCTTGATCAACCTTGTATCATGTCTTCTACATGACCATCTTTGGATAACTCCTTGAATAGCACCTTGGTCATCTCATAAACTCCTTGAAACCAACAAATGGACTTCAAGAAATGCCTCTGGGCAAATTCTACGAATATAACTCAAGGCAACCATTAGTCCATAGAGAATGTCATTAATTACCAAAACCAAACATGGGGCACCACATGTTCTTTCATGAAGGAAGAATGCATAAAGGACAATTTGAAACGTTACAAGCCAGGCTTAGCAAGAGGCTAGTAGACTGGAGTGAACAGTACTTATCTTCTGGGAATAAGGAAATTTTAATAAAGGTCGTCGTGCAAGCTATACCAACTTATGTTATGAGTGTATTTCGTTTGCTAGCTTCGGTTTGTGATGATCTAACCCGAATGATGGGGCAGTATTGATGGGGAGTGGAGAATGGGAAGAAAAAGATGGCTTGGCTCAACTGGAGAAAAATGATGTTACCCAAGGCTATGGGTGGTATGGGGTTTAGAGATATGAGGGCGTTCAACCAGGCGTTGTTGGCTAAGCACGCCTGACGTCTGTTGGACACCCCGGACAACTTATGTGCTCGTATACTCCGGGCAAAATATTACCCTAGTGGCAACCTACTGGACACGGTCTTTCCGAGCAGCTCGTCAGTGGTTTGGAAATGAATTGTTCATGGATTGGATCTCCTGAAGAAAGGTGTTATTTGGCGCGTTGGAGATGGTTATCTAATTAAAACATGGCGGGACCCCTGGATCCCATGGGGTCATGATTACAGGCCTGTCACACAGATGAAAAGTTCTAGACTCAATTGGGTTGCCGATTTTATTGATGAACATGGAGCATGGAATGTTCAGAGGCTTCAGGAACATTTTTGGGACTTGGATGTTCGTGAGATAACTAAAATTCGAACCTCTCCTAGGAATGGACAGGGCTTTATTGTTTGATCTCCGGAGAAGAGTTGACAGTTTACTGTCAGGAGTGCTTTGGCAACTGATGAGCAGAACCATGTCGTGGCGACAGGTGCAGCGAGTATTAATCCATCCGACCATCGACCTATCTGGCAGTGTATATGGGGTGCCCATGCCCCCCTTAAAATGAGAATAATGGCATGAAAAGTGGTTTCGGGTGCACTGTCAACAAACTTGTGCAAAAAGTATAGACATATTTCAAAGAAGGATACATGTCCTCTCTGCGGCAAGGAAGAAGAAAGTAGCTTTCACGCATTGGTAACTTGTGATCATGCTCGTGCTTTATAGGAACAGATGCGCAGGGTGTGGAAGCTACCTGATCATGATATGCTAGTTGAAACCGGCAAGGAATGGCTTTTAAACATTCCTGCTAATTGTCGGGGTGATATGAGGGGTCATACAATAATGTTGATTTGGAGGATTTGGTCATTGAGGTCAAATTTAGCACATGCAAAGGAGGTGATGTCTACCCGGTGTCGTCTGATTATCTTCAAAGTTACATGCAATCGCTTGACCTATCCAACAAATATAACACGGAGGAAATCATCAAAGGAAAATGCCATTGTTGGAGGAAAGGTCGGCTGTGCATGGAAGGGTGGCTACTGATTCGTTGCCATGGCCTAGACCATCGGCGGACAGCGTCGCCTTGTCCATTGATGGGGTCTTCTCTATGTTGGCTGAATCGGCGTCGGCGGGAATGATCTTGAGAAGACATGACGGAAGTGTGATCTTTGCGGCCTACCGTTGTCTATTTAACTGTAACAATGCATTGGAGGCGGAGTTACATGCGTTAATGCAAGGTATGGCACTGGCAGCTCAACATACTAGCTTGCTGATCATCGTTCAGTCCGATTCTTCGGAGGCTTTGTTGGCTTTGACGGGAGAAAAGCTATCCCGGTCAGCATATGGTCATTTAGTTCCTGAGATCAAGCATCTTATGATAGAGAGGGATTTCTTCCGTTGAAAATTAAACATGAGCAAAATAGGATAGCAGATCGGTTGGCTTTGTATAGTCGCACGGAAAGTACCACTATTATGTCTTGTGTGGCTAGGTAGAGGTCCGTCTTGTATTGAGCAACTATTGCCTCTCGATTGAACCCTATTCATTTGGAATAAACTCTTTTACCATCACAAAAAAAAATGTAGAATGGCCATGCTTCTCTTTGTGTTCATATAAACAATTTCAATCTTATGGCCTTGATTTACATACAAATGACTCCCTCGTACTACGTAGAATGCTTCAGCGCATTGATTAACGTTTGTCCTTCTCAAACATTTTTCTTCTTTTGCGGGTAGTCCTCAAACATTATCCATGGTATTACTACCACTTTACCAGGATCTCCCTCGCAGAGTCCTTCCTCCGCCGATCCTGCCCCGCCGAGGCACGGACACACCATCGACACCTGTAGCCCCATTCCTCCTCCTCCTGTGTTCCTCCTCCTCCTTTCTCCATTCTTCACGCGGAAATCATCTACTTCCTCCGTTCCAAATTACTCGTCGCTTAAATTGATATATTTAAAACTAAAATACATCTAGATACGTCCATATGTGCGACAAGTAATTTGGAACGGAGGGAGTAGAACGATCCAGCCAGTCTCTCCCCTATCCCTGCATCTTCGCTGCCCCAACCTGCTGCAATCGATCTTTGGATTGTGCTCCAGAGAATGGAATAGTAACACGCGCTCCGGAGAGGCGGCAGCTGAGGAGCAGGTCCTTCCAATGCTAGCTTCCGTGCCCGACCAAACTGAATCGAATGCAGTGAAGATGGCGGAGCATCGAAGGCAGTTTATTTCTGATCTGACATCTACCATTGTTGGCGAAGCTGCAGAGTTGAGGAACTATGGCAGACTCTTGAGGTTTATTTTTTTAGAAATTTTGTAATCTGCTTCTCTCTGTTTCTTACCAGCAATTACTACGGGTTTGCTTAAGATTCAATAATCAATATCTTTCTTATAGGGACGGGAGAGATCCTTTGTATGTATGTTAGATTTATCTAAAATGTTCCTTTTGCTTGACACTGTCATTTGAGTTCTCTGAAGCCTGTCAAACAAGCCACACGCTGACCCCGCCAAAAAGAAAAAACACTCACCAGTTTCTTAAGAGGGTAATTTACGAACTAATACCAGCAATTGAACGAACTTGGCAAGCAAGCGGTAAATCTAATCTCAGCAACATATGCAGGCGTTCATACAACTGTCGTACATCCACATACTGTTCCATATTGTTCACAGCTAGCTTCTCTGTTTCAGGTATCGTCACGAAAAAAAATACAGTTTAATTTAATCCAACCTAAGGAGCTGATATTACAAGCAAAATTAATTCAGCCCAAAGTAATTTCTGGTGCCTTTCAACGTCTTCGGGCAACAATTCACATGCATCACTGTCGGAAGGGAACAAATGCAGCTCCCAGCTGTGCCTCACACAGGGTGTACGCTTCCGAGCTTAGCTTCTTCTGAAACTTCTCTTTCAGATTGAGCCTCGTCACGGTTTGCAGAGCCCGCGTGCAGAACCTACGCACCTCCTGGCGACGCGACTTGTTTTCGGGCATCTTTGTGAGGATTTCCTGCATCAGCTCGCACAGCAGAGCCATGTGCTTCTTCAAAACCTTTGACGCGCTCGAGACGTCGTCGCCGACCCAGGATTTCAATATACAGTCCACCAGCTCCAAAGTTTGAACCCTTCGGTATTCAGCCTTGGTGCTGCCGATCTTCTGTAGAGCAAAGCCGAAAAGCTCCCGTCCTACCCAGGGGTTCCTGCGGAAAGCCTCCTTCACAAAACCAATCTTCAGCCGCGATTTCTTGTTGCTGAAGTAGTCGTTCAGCATGTACTGGAACTTATCGACCACACTTGCAAGTTCCTGCTTGGAACAACCCTTGGAATTGATAATCTTAAGAATCCAAAACGTGGCATTTTGGGCCGCAGAAGCAACTGCTTTGTATCGTGACCGTGATGCCAGATGCAGAGCCTTCTGCAGCAAACTTTCAAGTCTACTAAGTTCGACATCAAAGCCTTTTGGACATTCTTTTGCTTTGAATATCCTTTTCTGCAATATACCACCAATACGTTGCCTGAACTGCTCATTGCCATCCGCGCTATGTGATTTCACAAAAGCTTGCATTAAGAAAGCATACACCTCCAGCACCAGTTTTTTTCCTGCAAAGTTGGGAGACAGATGGTTACAAGAAAGAAAGAAAATTGCATAACATAGGTAGATCACGTGGAATAAAACAATTGATACAAGAACACATTAAGATAAGCAAAAGAGAAGAAAACAAACACCTCTGATAGTGTTAAACATTAGATGGTCAAAGTTCTGCATGTTACGTATATTTTAACAGATAAAAAAGGCAAATATAGTTTTGTCCTCAAATAGCTATTTAACTAGAAAGTGCAAGCTACAGAAAATGTCAACACAATAAAATAGGCTTCTGTACTTCATCGGAATGGCAAACACGAACTAATGATCTACACAATTACAAGTGTCATTTTACCTGATACACGACATATAGGCAACAAAAATAAATGAGTGGGAATATACCTGGATTCCTCTGAAGATATATCTCCAGTAAAGTAAGCACGCGAAGCTTAAATCGCATAAGTTGAGATTGCTGAGTTTCACTACCAGGAAGATTGTTGCGCTCCTTGAAAATCCTCGCAATATAAGGATCAATACGGAACATAGCATCGTCGTCCATACCATCTGAATCATCGGAATCTTCCCCACCTTTGGTAGCTTCTGCATCATCTCCATCTTTTGCCTTATTGTCGACTGTTTCTTCCAAATCATCCTGATCCTCATCTACTTCATCAGCTGAATCATCTTCCATTTCCTCATCCATTTCATCTGTGGCATCATCAACATTCCCAACATCCGCATCTTCCATTTCATCATCATCTTCAATATCAACACGAGCCTCATCTTCGTCATCATCGCTATCTGTTTGACGACGAGAGCCTTTCAAATCTATCTTTACAACTCTCAGCATATCAAGAAGCCCTGTTTCTGTAATCTCATCACTGAACACACGGAATACCTGTTGTTTCAAAGAGAAGACGTAGTTAGTTAAGGCAATAAAATACTCCTCTGTACACTAATGTAAGACGTTTTTGCAGTTCAAATTAATGTACAGAGGTAGTATATGCCAAGAATTTTAGTAGCAAATGACATAAAAAAGGTGAGACGAGCATATTGTCTGCTTCAATTTCGACTGATACAGATATGGAAAATGTACATTTCATGTTTAGGAATGACGATGAAAATATATTACATTGACTGAAAGAGGCACAAATGATTAAGATGAATGCACTCCACTTATTTCTTAGTATCATCACTAAAGATTTTTCAAAATTGTAGAACTGCCAACTGCTATGAATACTTGCCTGTTCAATGGCAAAACACACAGGGCCAGATACATGAGGCAAAACAGAGAGAAAAGTCTGCACAAGTACATCAATAGACTCTAATGACCCATCCTCATTAGGCTCCTCTGACCCATCCTCATCAGACTCCTCTGTACCACCCTCAACAGATTCCGGCGCACTGGAATTGTCGCTCTGAGCAATGGAAGGAAATGTTTTCTTGCAACATATAATCACATCAATTGCAGCCTCCCAGAACTCCTCTGGATGGAGCAGAACTTGCAGCAGTAACTGAATAAGGAGATAACGTATCACGTGCATTTTAGTTGAATCCAATCCAGTGCCAATTTTTCTTTCCTGATCACGCAGAAAGAAACCACAGATATCAGATAAAGACCCAACAAGGATATGTATTAAGGAACATCAATGATAATTTACAGAACTGTTAGTTAGTTTTAAACAACACTACAAAAATTCCATGACTCTCACATAAGCAAAAATAGAAGGATATCAAAAACAAAAGAAGAAAGCAATGCACTTCTCTTTGGTCACAGGCTATCACATTGCCAGAAAGTATTCATGCAATGCTCTAATGCACAAGTTCGACATAAGGACAGCTACAGTGGTAAAAAAGGTAGCATTCTCTTATGCCCCCCACATCTACAGATGATAATAATATAATGCTGCATTTGTTTAATCCGTAGCAATATTTTGCACACATACCGACGTATATGCACAACCAAGTAGGGCATGTGTACACCTCAAAAGAAAATAAAAACATGCTCACTACGTCATCTTTGCAGACCAATAAAACATAATCTAGAGCATATAAGCAATGAATAAGCCAAGTGGAGCAGCAAGCAGTCACAAACCTCCTGGAAAAGTGCAGATTCCGTAGCCAGTGTTTTCTTGAATGCATTATCATCATTGCTGCTCAAGGTTCTGAACAGTGAAACTGAAGGAATATTGCACACAGTGTTAATGAAACGCATGAAGTAGAAGCCTAAGTCATTAGACTTAACCCCGCTAACATGCAAAGCCTCGTCCTTCTGCGCATCTTCTAGTAATAACTGAAGTTGTTCAATGCATTCATTACGAAGCGATGTCGATATAGCTGCCTTTGGCCATTTGAACTTCTCTTGCAACTCAAACGATGTCACCTCAGTTCCTAAAGAGGCTGAGAACAGACCTTGGACTGCAAAGAATTTTAGTATCTCAGTTTGCACCTGAAATTTTTCTTCAATACACTTGATCATCTCAGAATCTGTCAGAGAACATCCTTTAGATGTGAGCTTTAGATTTTTCAAGACAAATGGAATTGTATTCACCACCCAACTCTTCAGAAGGTCAGCGTTCCCTTCGCCAACAAGTTCCTTATCTTCAATTGAGCCAACTTCGGAATTCTCATCAGTTGTCTGACTTTGATCAGATGGTTCATCTGTAACAGAACCTTCATCCACAAAGAGTGCCATCAAATTTTGCACAAGATGCAAACAATCTTGACCATTCTGGATCTTGGCGATCAACCCTTTAACAGTTTTTGTTTTTGTCAGGCTGTCAAATCTTCCAAAGCTATACTTCTGCAAGTTGATGATAACAGCAACACAACGATCATTGTCATTGCTTACTAAACTGACTAATTCTTTCAGAAAATGTTGACCGGCATTGTATAACCACGATGAAGCATTAGACAGAATGTCCATCAATCCAAGAACAACTTTGCTGGACAGAATTACTTGAATAGATGATGGAGATAGTCTTGGTAGGAGATCAATAATTATATTAAATGCTAGATGCTTCCGGTCGTGAGATGAGAGCAGCAACGATCTTTCAATAATAACCTCACAGAAATTGCGTAGGTTCTTTTTTGAATCCTCAGAGGAACTGCCTTTCTTACTCTTTTTGTGCTTTTTGCTAGAACTCGTATTGTTATCACTCTGAGAAGCTTCCTTCCGGATGAGCATGTCTGTGATAACATGCCATATACTATGAATGCGTGGAAGACAAAATGCAGATTCCTGCATAAGATTACAGGAGAACAATTAAAGGATCAACCAGCAAATTCCACAAAATATACAACATTTCAAGAACATAAGACTATACACCGATTATTTCAGATAGAACATAAGATGTTAAAACTTTATTGAAAGTTCCACATGAAACTTAAAATTGCTCAAAATTACCTTAAAACAAGCAGCAAGGGATAGAAGATGCTCTTCTGTGAAAAAATTGTCAAGACTGAATGGATATGGCAGAAGCTTCCCAAATATCTCCCTCTGAACATTAGTTCTTTCTTGGAACTTCAAAGCCAGGAAGAGCGCATCTGGATCTCCAACATTAGCAGCTCTGTTGAACCAATCTTGTACACAAGGGGTATCTAGAACCTCAGAGAATATAGCTTCATCTGGCAGCTGCAACACACAGAGAAGTTACAAAGAAACAAATCAACCAAGCGATCACATATGGGAACCATTCACAAATGACAAATGTACAAATATTAGTTTTGTTCTTTAATTCCATTTTACCACAAATGGAAATAGAATATGCGATTGCAAAAAAATCATACTAGTATAGTCCCAGCAGCCATATGCGCATAGCCAATACTTCAGTGCTGGGTTCATAATGGTGCCCTTTTTTGTAAAAAAAACATTGTAATTTCTGTCTTTGCATGCTTATCTACAAAAACAAATGAAACCAGAGTTACTGGTTTTGCATTTGCCCCCTGATTTACAGCTAGATTGGGTGGGGGTGGGGGGTAATAGCTCGTCAGAAGGCTTAATAATAACCAAAGGCAAAAGCTAAAAATGATGGCATAATTTGTGATGAGGATACAGATGTATATTGATGAAACTATTTAGCAGAAGAACATCCATTCATGCCTCTACGCTAAAATAATACAGGTTGCAAACCAAATAAACTGCCAAATTTGGTTAATGCTTAAAACCAATATATTTCCTTCTTCAATGAGCCATCAATAAAAACAAACCACATAAAAAAAGATAACACAAAAAGCAAGGGAGGTAAATACACTACAGCAGAAAAGACGAGCACACTTCTCTGGGGTTCTTAAAACACACAAACAACTGTTAAAAATAAATGTTCATGTTAGCTTGTTTTGGCTGGTAGTTACTTGACTGCTTAGCGTCTTAGTACTTTATACTTGACACAAACACCTAGTCCAACTCACTATCAGAATCAGGATTAAGGTTACTCATGTTTAGAATGTCTTGTCAACCATGTGATACGACAACCTCATGTAAATCAGGGCAAAGGCTATGGTCACAGATTTGTTCTACAAATAAGCAGATTGAAAGATCAGATGGTGATGCAATCAAGGATTGAGATTGCTGCACCACAGTAACACCAGCTTTTTTATGTTGCGACAATTGTTGAGCTAATTCATTTATTTTAAATATTTATCAAATCCTACCAGGAAAAACATGTTCTCAATGTCCACAAGCAAATAGCATAGACTGCCATGGGCTGCACTGATGCTGTTTCACCTTTCAACTAACACAAGAACCCTTCCATAGCATGCATGATATTTGTAGTTCTACTAGAAGATTAGAACACTGCATGATACAAAGATTGTTAAGCATGCGCCTATGGTATGTACCTTCCTGGTTAAATCCAGAATCAATGCAACCGCAGGCTCGGTGAGATATCGTTTCTTATTTCCAAGTTGCACAACCTCTGTAACAAAATCCCTGAGAAGAGGAGAAGACTTATCACGTTTCCACTGTCCTAAAACCCTTCCAGACCTTGCAAGTGATCCAAATCCAAACAGGCGCCCCAAAAGATTGTCCTTAGCTTCCTACAACGGAATGAGTACTGGAGAATTAAGCTGACAGTACAGTGGGACATAAGAAATGTGCATCTAATCATAACGCAAGTTACCGGTCCTTTCATGGAAGCCGAATATTCCAGCAAAGCAGGTATCAACTTCATAACGGCTTCCACGCTGATCGCTTTAATTGACTGGAGCACAGCCGCGAGACCCAACGCGAATCCTTGCCTTGCAAACTGCAAATAAGAACCCCAAGCATAGCAATTAATGGAAGTGTGACGCCGCAGTTCAATCATTCCATGACATGACATCACAGAACGTAAGTTGGTCCTAGACTCAGGACAGCATTCCTGACCTCTCTAGAGGAAGAGATACCGCGGATGAGCCGCCGGATGGCATACCGCACCGCGGGCGCGCAGTTATCCAGCCCATCCTCCTTCTCGGCCTCCATCTGCGAAGGGCCGTCGCGATCCCCGTCGTCCTCCTCCCCCTCCTCCCGCGCGGCCTTCTCCTTCTCATACGCCCTCTGCACGTCCCGGAGCTCGGCCACCAGCGCCTCGGCCGCGGCCTCCCTCAGCGAGGCCTCGGGCGACGCCAGGTCCCTGAAGACATTCATGTGGAGCCCTGGCCCCGCCACCACCGCAGCGGGCGCGGGCACTGGCACTGGCACCGGGACCACCGCCGCAGCCTCCTCGTCCACCGCGGCCGCGGCGGGCGCGGGCTGCGGCTTGGGGGCGGCGGCGGCCTTCTCCGCGAACTGGCGGTGGCGGTCCTTGTCGAGTTGCTTCCGCTGCTTCCTGACCTCCATGGCCAGCTTCTTCTTCTTCTTCGCTGGCACCTCGCCCGCCGGGCCCGCCGCCCTCGCCGCGGCCTCGTCCTGCGAGGAGTCCGACGCGGCGGGGTCGAGCTCGGCCAGCGCCGTCGGGGGCCGCTTCTTTCCGGCCATCAGATAGCTTGGTTGGTGGGTCTCCGCGTCCTAGCCGCCGTCTGCTGAGGTTTATGCCCGAGACGAGACGAAACGGGACGGCCAAGCTGCGGGGGAGAGGCGCGGCCTACTAGGGTTAGGGTTTTTGCTCCCGCCCCCCTCCCCTCCCTCTTATTTTTTCACCGTCTACTGAAGCCAGCCCAAGCCCATCAGCGCATCACATGTCCAGGAACCCAGTTATCTTGGCCCGAGACCATCTGGCCCGTAAGCATTAATTCTCTCTGGCTGGCAGGTGGGCGTCCAAGGCGGCGTGTGGGGCCCACGGAATAAGGCGACGGAGCGAGAAGGGAAAGGGGAAGGGGAAGCAGTGTGTGTCGGCGCGGCGGAGCAATGGCGGACAAGCCGAGCCGGGCGCTGGTGCTCTACGCCGCCGGCCACGCGGCGCTGCTCGCCGGGGGCGGAGGGGGGAAGGGCCACCTCGACGCGTTCGCCTCCATCGCCTCCTGCGGCTTCCTCTCCGTCCGCACCCCCGCCGTCAACGGTACCAATCCAGCCCCACCCCCTCTCGCGCGGTTGCTTTGCTTACCCCCTTAAACTGAGAGGTTTCTGGTCTTATCTCTCAACCCAGAGGATGGAGGGGACAAGAACAGCGACACGATTCTCGAGCTGGCGCAGCTCCTCGACGTGTACGATGCCCTCTACCCTGCCAAGGTGCGATCCTGCTCTCCGGGTTTGCGTCAGGACGAAGTAGTTGCAGAGTGGGTTTGTGTTTGCGATGCTGATTATATTTGTTGCACGTTAGGATGGGGAAACTGCCCGGGTGGATCCGCAGGAGCTAGTAGTCCCCAAGCTATCCGAGAGGTTCGATGTGTGTGTGTGATCTTTTGTTTTGGTTACTGTTAGTGTATCCATTGTAACTGTGATGGCTGACTGACTGCTGAAAATCCAGGTTCATGGGGCTGAGAGCCGCTATGGTCACCAATTGCCCCGGTGTTAGTTCATTCGCGGCGAATCTTGGCTTCCACGTTTTCGGAACTGAGGATTTTGCCGCACGGTCCGGTTCAGGCAGCAGTTCTAAGGACGCTAGAATAATCGACCGGGCGTTCGCTCTGCTGGGATTTGCGGAGGGGAATGTCCAGGACACATCCGAGTTTGATCTGGTGTTTGTGCATGCCGCAATGGAGAACACAGCCGGCAAGCTGGGGAAATTAGGGATGAAGACGGATCTCAACCGGCTTGACAAACTGGTGGCTTCCGTGATGGAAGCTGCGCCGGTCGGTTCAGCTGTCGCCGCCCGTATTCATGTGTCTGTTGTCTTGAGCTATGGATCTGCTACAGAAAATAAGGAAGAGGCGTGCCTCATCTTGAACTCTTCAACCGAAACTGATTCCGACTTGAAGTTACTCCGTCCACGCCAGAGCTACACTATGAAAGAAGGAAAGACGTTGGATGATGTCAGGTAAATATTGTTCTTGGCTAGCAAATGAAAGTCATGACAGATGTTTTGAAGTACAACCTTTATTACAGAAAAATGCTCCTTTGGGTTTTCTTGTTTTTTATGTGAATTGATCCATATCATGGCCTTCCAAATATAACTTGTTTGTCATCTCCAGTCAATATTTCGTTGTATGACATGACTCTGCAATGGCTCGGATCACAACCATTAGCCATCTCATGAAAGCTAACAAGACACCTTTTGGTTTTGTGAAGTGAAGTTGAAAAATGTCATTCTAATACATGACAGGACCGGTCTAGAGATATGTAGTAGATGCTACATCAGTCTATGTGCCTATTTTTTGTTGTTTTATGCACTCAACAATGGTGCGATGTATAGTACAATGAAAGCGCATCTGTGTACAATGACACGTCTAGACTTACACAAATATATTTATTATACATATTCTGCAGGAATCATCATCCGATGCTATTGGCACAGTGGCAGCAAGGAGTAACACGTTCTGATTTGGCCAAAGAGTTCTCTTTTGAGGAATTTATAAAGGTCTGCTTAATCCACTTTTTATAATGTTTATCTGAATCAGAGAAACTTTTATCAAATAATACTACTACATATGCAAGTTTGTTCCCGTGATACTGTTTATTACTCCCTCTGTACATAAATATAAGACGTTTTAGAGACTAGGAATACTTTGTTTATCCAGTTGTTTAGAATGGACAAACACTGCAGTTCTTCCTTTTTCAAAGTTTGGTACTGGTGCCAGCATTAGAAACTTGGCAGTACTTTCTTTTTTAGAAAATAAAGTTTCTAGATTAAAATAAGCTATATAGTATTGATATTAATTCCTTCGGTAGTGGACAGTTTCTGTAATAATAATATTGTACTCTAGTAACTAGCTATTACTCACCATGGCGCCTCTGGTTACAAAAAAGAAGAAGCATGTAGGGTATGCAGCATACGCTCATTTTCATGCCACGGTTTATCAAGATTTCCTCGGTCGATCATCCACTTATCCTTCTTTGATACACCTTATAAATCGAAAAACCTTGGTGTGGTCAACTTTGATATATTGCTAAAATAGTCGATGGCGAAGTGTATCATCTTTATAGGATACCCAAGATATGTGTCACAGACCAGAATGAGTATGCTCCACAAGAGTAAATCACAGTAGCTTTATTTTATAAAGTAATTACCGAAGGGATCAAAACTTAATTGCAGGGTTGCTATTGCTTTTACATTCTCACAGCTTCCCATCTGTGTGCTCATCTGGTCATGATGTAGAGCCTAGGCTTCCAACTGTGTTATGTTTCAATATGTGTTTGAAGTTTTGGCTGGTGATTCTTAATTATTTCCAAACACGGGTCTTGCCATTTTTCTCTTTAGTTTCAGTTTCCTTAAATCATTTAACTAACTTCATTTTGTAATGTAATCAACAGCGTGCCGGAAACTTCGCTATGCTTGCCGAGCGCTTTCTACATGAGGTTGCATTTAAGCTCTGGAAAGCGCCAAAATATGGAGCATAGTTCTATCTGAGGAGGTTCTCTCTTAATAAGGCGTGGAATCACCTAATAAAAGGGGTGCTACACAAGTACTTCTTTCAAATGGGTACTGCGGCAGATATTGCAAATAGATGAGTTCTGTACTCTCCTAAGGTTCTCATTTGGTATCACCCATGCTCCATGCCAACGATGCCGTGGTACTGGGAACTCATAGGCTCATTACCAGTAGTAGTTACTCACTTAGTGGAGATCTGTTGTGAGCCTCTCTAACGCTTTCCTTTTGTGAAACAATGCCATCATTCGCAGCTTTGCTTGAAATTTCTTAACGTGGCAGTTGTTTCTGCGTCTAGCTCTGTATCGGCTTTGTACCATGTGCGGATCACTGTAATGTAGATGCTATTCCTGGAAATGATGACCGGCTGGAGCATCAATTTTAACAAATACTGGAATTTGTTTTCCTACAGAAGGATAATGAAAGCATGTGCTCGTGTCAAGTATATACATGCAAACTTGCAGAAGGATTAGAATACCTGTGGTACAAAAATATTCATCCGAATGCCCCCTATATGTTGGCTATCCTGATTGAGTGCGCGAAGTGATATGGTTCTTTTTTAGGAATATGACCTGGATAAAGCTCGAAACCTGAAACTCTTGCTTTCAGCTTTTGAGCAAATGTCAGGCCTTGTTATGAACATCCATAAAAGTGAATTGTCCTGTTTGGAAGAGACCAATGAGATGGCTGCTAAATACGCTGACATATTTGGCTGTGCATAAGGTCAATTCTTGAGTAAGTACTTCAGAATTCTCATTCATTATCAACATCTCATAAACCGGAGTAGATACATGTACAAAAGTGCTTAGAGAAACGGTTGAGCAATTGGAAAGGCAAGTTGTTTCTCATTGGAGGACAATTGATTTTGATCAACTCTATCCTCGGTTCTCTATATGCTCTCCTTTCAATTCCCAAAAGAGGCCCTGCAAAGGCTGGATTATTTCAAATTCAGATTCCTTCGGCGAAGAGACAATGAAACAAAAAGGTATTTGTTCGCCAATGAAGCTTGTTTTGTAAATCGAAAGACCAAGGTGATCAAGAATGATGCCTTACTTAGTAAATGGTTGTTCGGCCTACTTAAAAAGACCCTATGCACAGCGAAGCAAACATTTGTTTCAAAGTGATTAACTCCAACACTAATTCAAATCCCACCAGCTCTTCTTTTTGTGAATCTCTTTGTTTTCATAAAATAAAATCTCTTCATGTGAAATAAGAAGGGAGAATATCATACGGAAAGCAACATTTGGTGGAAACCGGTGAAAAGTGAAAACCACGAGAAGATGTTTTGAAGTTTCAAAAAAATCTGAAAAAAATACGGGATGATAAGAGGATGATGTTTTATCGCCGCACAAAATTTCAAGTTGAAACACATTACGAGATGTGAGCTACGAAAAAGACAAAATCAGCGTTGAATAGTGCCAAACAGTAATGTCACTATTTAGGGCTGAATTTGCCTTTTTTATAGCTCACATCTCGTAATGTGTTTCAACTTGAAATTTTGCGTGGTAATAAAACATCACCCTCTTAACATCCCGTATTTTTTCAGATTTTTTAAAACTTTAAAATATGGTTTCCATGAAGTTTTCATTGAATATTGTTTTCCATATGATATTCTCCCGTGAAATAAAATCTCTTCATGCTTAAAAAAGACGTAAGGTTTTGTCGTCCGCTTGTCCTTCGTCCAACCTTACGTAAACTCACACAACTCTCCCTCATTTTGAATTCTTTTTTCCTCTCTCCCCTGGTTTTCCTAGAAAAACACCTCAGTTGCCCCACCTCTTATTAACTTATCAAACAAAAAATGTTTTATTTGGTAAGCCAATAAGTGTTTATCGAATAAAAATTTTATGTTTACACACTTACATGATTAATATGGGAAGGTAAATCACATGTTGACATACTGGAATGTTTATACCCTGTTGTAATGCACAGGTATTTATCTAATAACAAAAAGAATTGTAGGTAAAGGCACTAAAAAGGGAACATAAATGGAAGCAACACAATTATACAAACT